AAGCACTACCAAGCCTCAATAAGCAAACCAGTTCACTGGTTCACTGGTTTTGCATCTTTTCCTAAATTGTGTTCCAAGCAGTTGTATACTGCAAACACAGATTAAAAGGAATCCATGTTTAACATGGAATGAGGCAAAAATGTGATTCTTTGTTAAACTAATTTGCATATGCCCACCCAGAATCCTTTGCGGTTGCATGCATTTAGTAGTATTTTTTTTATTAATGATTATTCAACAGGAGGGAAAATGTGTGGTTATAATAACTTGTAATATTCGCTGAAATCATCCACACCAAGAATTTTTACATTTTTGATATTAAGAAAGTACATTTGGGCATCAGCCTATTACCCCTTCAAGGAAATGGGATGTCAGAATTAAAGGGCTAGTGAACTGCCATAGAAAGCCAATGTAGTTCAACAGTCAATAGTTCATTTGGCTTGGCCAGTTAAGGTAGTCAAAATAGATTATTCCTCCAACTATGGTTCTCTAAATCTTCAATCTTCCATGTGTTCTTTATGTGCACTGTGTCTTTGCTCCAGTTCTGTTAGTAGGGCAGTGCTGGAGAAAACAGTAGTAAGAGACATTAGCAATAGAAATGTCTTTTAATTTCCAGTTAGCAATGTGGAGATCCCCTCAGCCATTTAAGGACCATACATATCCAAGTGGATAGAGGGGTGTCCAGTGAGGAGATTCCATATTTCTTAGGAGGAAAGGAAGGAAGGTCTATAGCTTATGGCTATAAGTGGGCATAGACATTGGGCAATAATTACTAGACTGAGAAGCAGTAGTCTTATAACAATACAGGTGGGCTCAAAATTAAAAATAACTCATGAAAAATAAAAGAACACTAAAAAAGTCAATAGAAATAATTGTTAAACTATTTGCGTCACCCAGCTACGTGCAGTACCCCAAAATATATAATCCAACAAGGGCAAGTAGTTAAGTAAGTGATCTGCAGGCAAAGTTTTGAGCCAGCAAACAGCGCAAGAAGAACATTTCAGAGCTGATGTTAAATATGGTTAAGAACTAGTCTGTAGGTAAAGGATGATAGTCCACAAATAAAGACAAAACAAAGAATGAGTTTTGTTCAGACTCCTTATCTATCACTAGACCCAGGGGTTTTAGCAACAAAACATAGCAAAAAATAAAGAAAGAACAAGTGCTTTATATACAAGAAATAATAAAACTCTTAAAATTATTTTACACCAATATCAATACCTACAGTACTTCTAGTAATTATAATATTATACTAAATGATTTCCTGTCTATATCACTAATCCAAACAAAGTAGCATACATATACTGGTATGGAAATACAATAAATAAAATACATAACACTAAAAATCACCGGACTCTAATATCTCTTAAACTCCCTGTATCCCAAAAGTCAGTAAGTATCAGTGGCAGGCAGCTGTAGCCCATATAAATCTCTATGGGACCGTTATAAGTTATATAAGGGATGCAATATCAAAAGTCACCAATAGAGGCATTGCTGTCTGCCAGCAGAACATAATTAATCACAGAAGGAAAGGTAGAGGAGGCCATACTGCATACACAATGGACAAAGAAGTAACAATTCACCTACTTATTTGCCAGCTGGATACTTCCACAAACAACACAAAGAGCAGAGAGGCAAGATAAGGTGTGTAAGAGCATATTAAGCACTTGATACTCAATTATCTCATGTGTTAACATCCAGTGGCAGGAGTGTATCTAGACCCCATGGTAAAAAAAGAAACTAAATTAATGTATGAGGTGCAACACTGTTTTCACTGAAATAAGTAGGAAAGTAATATTAAGGTGAAACGCTGTCTTCACTGAGAGACATAGGGGTTGAAGTAGGAGACAGTCATTTTGATGGTGTGTTAACGTAATTGGAGAGTAACCTGCTGAATTTCTAAAACTCTACAGTAAAAGACAGGTAAGCCCAAGTGTCAGATTTTATCAAAAACATAGGGAAGGTGGACAGAAGGTGGACAAGCACTAACGAAGGTGCCTAATAGTGTCAAATGCTGAACCTTTATTCAAAAGGCATTTGTGATTGTTAGTTAAAGACATAGCTATTATGATTTACAGACACCTTCGTCAACACCCCTTCAAATGCTATTTTATATGTAATGTGCAGTTTATTTTTCACACAAGTTATTAACCTGATACGTTATTACAAAATAGCTGACATGGTTGAGTTTTCCTATTTTGAATTACATTTTGCAACTCCCTTGACAATTCTTTGCAGTTTGCTTTACATCTCACATGTCATATTTTGTATAACAAAATACTTTTGAAAGTGCTGTAGCATTTGGCCATAAAACATGGCTCTTTGTAATTCCAGTTTGTGTAGGGAAGGGTTGAGTATTATTCTGTGAATTATTAATGCTACCAAAATATTTTTTATCTCACTAGAAAAACAATGGTAAACAAATGCTTGGAAATAATTGATTAAGCTCAGTGTTGAAGGCAGTAAATATACAGTAAATATATTTTGCTGGGAATATGTACCTTGATACTGAAAATATAATTAGCCAGGCTGTATGTAACTTATATAGTAATACGGCTTTTCTGGATTATATCACTAACCACATTCATTTTTTGACATCAAACTCTCTTTGTGATATTGTGATATATTGTGTTACTAGAGTTGAGCAAACCCACACTGTAAAGTTCGGGTTCGTACTGAACATTACGTTTTTTAGACCCCGGACCCAAAAACAGACATATCACTGTATGTTCGGGTTGGAGTTCGGTGTTCGTCGATTAAATGGCGCATTTTGAAAGGCTGCAGGGCAGCCAGTCAACAAGCGTTTGACTCGTGTGCCCTTAGAAGCCATCACAGCCATGCCTACTAATGGCATGGCGGTAATTGGACAGTACAGCATGTGACCCAGCCTCTAGATATATAAGCTGGAGTCGCGTAGCGCCGCACGCACATGAGGTCTTATTAGTGTAGGGAGAGGATTCTGCCACTGTGAGGGGCAGCTTAGGAAAGAATTCTGCAAACTAGTACATTAGTGGGGTGCACTTCATATCTGAAAGTCAAATAGAAGCTTCAAATACCACGGTTACATCGGAGTTTTAAAAAGTCAATATTTTTTGGTGCTAAATAGTACATTAGTGGGGTGCACTTCATATCTGAGAGTCAAATAGAATCGTCAAATACTGCTGTCACATTGCAGTTTTAAAACTTAAATTTTTTTCGGGTGCTAAACTGCTAAATAGTATTTTAGTGGGGTGCACTTCATATCTGAGAGTCAAAAAGAAGTGTCAAATAGTGCGCTTACAGCGCAGTTGTAAACATTCTAATTGTTTTGCTGCTAATCTGCTAAATAGTACATTTTGGGGCCTGCTCTTCATAACTGAGAGTCAAATCGAAGCGTCTAATAGTGCGCTTACAGCACACTTGTAAACATTCTAATTTTCTGGGTGCTAATCTGCTAAATTGTACATTTTGGGGCATGCATCTCATATCTGAGAGTCAAATCGAAGCGTCTAATAGTGCGCTTACAGCGCAGGTGTAAACATTCTAATTGTTTTGCTGCCAATCTGCTAAATAGTACATTTTGGGGCCTGCTCTTCATATCTGAGAGTCAAATCGAAGCGTCTAATAGTGCACTTACAGTGCAGTTGTAAACATTCTAATTGTTTTGCTGCTAATCTGCTATATAGTAAATTTTGGGGCCTGCTCTTCATATCTGAGAGTCAAATTGAAGCGTCTTATAGTGCGCTTACAGCGCACTTGTAAACATTCTAATTGTTTTGCTGCTAATCTGTTAAATAGTAAAATTTGGGCGTGCTCTTGATATCTGAGAGTCAAATCGAAGCGTAACTTTGATTCAAATTTACTACATTGGTCACTTGTAATATTGTTTCACACCTACAACACTTGTTACACAGATCTAAGTAATAGAAAACAGATTGATATTTTCTACACTAGAAACTATCAGATAACAAGCTGCTATATTTAAACCAGTTATCAATAGCTAAGAGGTACTTAAACAATATTGTAATTCTGGAGCAATACCCTCACAAGTCAAACTGAGAGGTCAGTTTATAGGGAAAACTGTTGCCTGGATACAATTCTAAAACAATTTCCATATGTCCTTTGCAGACTTTACATGCTGGAAAAACACAGGTGCCAACTGCTGTGGCTTTCTGCAGTGTGCATACCGGCAAGGAGGGCAGGGTTGAGGAGTGGGTGGAAGATGATGTGGAGGATGATGAGGTCCTAGACCCCACATGGAATCAAGGTCATGCGAGTGACGTGTGCAGTTTGGAGGAAGAGGCACAGGTCGCACAGAGGCACCAGCACAGCATAAGAGGGAGCAGGGTGCAAAAGCGGAGCGGCCGTCCCCTAGTGCACGTCGGCATGTATTATCTTTAGAATTCCCACAGCTATTCAAGTAACAGTTGAAGCGATAAAAAGAACCATAACAGATTTAACAAGCCATTCGCAGTTTCGCAGTCCAGTGACCGAGACCCAGACACTGTCTGGGCGGTGGTCGGACGACCAGAACCCAGTATGCCTGATGTAGAAGTTAGGAATTACAGTGTTGAATGGATTAGCAGGATCTGGTGCAAGGTAACTGCACGCCCACTGGTGTTGAGCACCAGAGTTTGTGCGGCCACATACCAGGACCCTGATTCAGCTTCAGTAAAAAGAGTACTGGATACCAGAAGCCATCACCAGACTGATTCGCAACTTGGAACAAGATGTGACATTCACTGTAGTGGCGTTCTCACCCTGCTGCTTCTGGCCTGTCTGCACTGCAGCATAACTTTGGCCTTCCCGCTCACTGCCTCATATGCGACATACCCACAATGTGGAACTCCACATGCTGGAGAGACTGTTTGAGCAGCAGCAGGCGATAGTGGAGTTTCAGCTGCAGCACGCACGGGTCAGTGGCTCTGCACCAAACTTCCCTCCAATTGATCAGAGTTAAAGGATTTCAAGTGGACTCATTACAATTACAGGGCCTCTAAAGAGTCCTGTATTGTTATTTGTCGTTACTACCTTCCCGCGTTGGGAGTGGGTAATTTGTGCGCTTGCTGCCTTCCTTGCATGTGGTAGCTGTTTGTCAGGGTCCCTGTATGGAATCAAACCCTGATTCCCCATTAACCTTGGTCACCATGGTAGGCGCAGTCAAAGGCATCGAAAGTTGATATGGATTGACATACGAATGCGTTGTCGCCTTCTCGTTTGGGAGCACATTGAAAAAGTGCTCTAGCAAGACGAGCTGGGTGATCTCTTCCGGGAACTTGGCTTGACGGGAGTTGAGCCAGTTCTGGGTGGCCCTTGTGATACCACAGTGTATACCCAGATATATCAGAGCTGCTGCAGAAAGTGCGGGTCGTCTGTGCGCGCTTTTGGCGTTCTCACCCTGCTGCTGCTTGCCTGTCTGCACTGCAGCGTAACTTCGTCCTTCCCGCTCACCGCCTCATGAGACTGTGCAAGCAGCACCACACGATAGTGGAGTTTCAGATGGAGCACGCATGTCCCAATATTATGGGGGCTACCCCAATTAAAATAAAAAATATATCTATATAAAAAACAGTATTGGCTACCTCCTCCTCCTCCACCGCTGCTTCCACCTACACCGCCAAGGTCACAGCCTCCTTAACCTATGGGTCACTTAGTATAAACTATGTACACAATAGCAGAGGCTTGTGAAGGCCTTTTCTCCATGCATCAGGAGTTGAGCATTTCTCCATGCATCAGTATTGCAAGAAATGCACCGCAGGCTGCAAATGTTTCTTTTTTTATATGTCCCAATATTTTGGGGACTACCACAATTAAAATAAAAAATACATATATATAAACAGTGTTGGCTACCTCCTCCTCCACCACCGCTGCTTCCACCTACAACGCCACGGTCACCACCTCCTCAACCTATGGGTCACTTAGTATAAACTATGTACACAATAGCAGAGGTTTGTAAAGGCCTTTTCTCCATGCATCAGGAGTTGAGCTCAGTTTGAACAATGAAAGAGAATACCCTGCAATCCAACCGTCTCTCAAATAGATAATTCTGGTGATCACCCAGAGCTAAGATTGATCATGCTCTAGGAAACGTGAGCGCAAACTCCCAACTTTTTATAAGTGTGCATATATGTCAGATGGTCTGCACTATATTTGTTTTTTTATATTTTTTTTGCAGAAGGTTTTATGAAAAAAATGTGCATGCAATAATATTTAAGTGCAACACCATTTCTGGTTTAGCATAAATCCATGCCACTAATGGATGCCACTATAGTGCCTTATTTTCTCTCTGTATGTAATAGTTCTTATTATTTCATGAAATATTAAGATGATTTAGATGTAGGATATAAATCATTTTTTATGAATACTAATCATAGCAGTGATCCATCTGTGGCAAAGTCCCAGAAATAAGATGACAACAGTGATTCATCAGTAACAAGGGTCCTGCAATATGATGGTAACTGCAACAGTGGCAGTGATAGAAACGTCCATTAAAATTAAAAAGTACCAAAACACCCATATATCATGCACAACAGATCATAATTCTCTAATATTCCTTGTTTTATTAATTTTATGTTTCGTCACATTCAAAATACCCACTGCACAACAAATAAAAATAAAATAATGCTTTATTAGTTAATGCATATATACAATAAATTACAAAATCATCATGTGTCAATCAGCAAACAATATCCTATTCATAATTTAGCATATTAAATTGAAAGACATTAGTGTAAATGCATAAACAAATGATGATCAATAAACAGGTATCTAAAAAATCTCAAATTAAATTATAAAGCAAATATTCTGTTAGTAGTAGTAGTATAGGGCAAGAGCTTAAATACCAAAGCACCCAACATTTCAACCTTGTAATATTTTCACTTTGTTGTACTCTATGCCAATAGGGATACAATTTACACAACACATAGATCACCTGCTGGACAAGAGGTTTGATACATACGGCCTGCCAAATCTGCAGTTTTGCAGCCGTGGTCTATACCTCTTTCTATCTTCACTAGGGTGAGTTTGTCAATTAAATGTGTGCTAGATAAGATATCAATACTTTTTTTTAACAAATGGATAATCTCACATAAGTTCTAATTCTGATTAGAACATTGACTATTTTTTTTTTTATTATTACTTTTGACATAGATATGTTACTTGGGTGCCCGGTCACCATGATGATGGCAAACCCGATCCTATACTTGTTTAATAGAAATACCCATTACTACCTACAAACATTCTATCTGGATCCATCACCTTTACTGTGGTATATCACTATATAAAGGATATCTGTGTGAAGTGCTCTTCACCCTTGACAAAGGCTCAAAACTTCTTAACTTTGGGTGCTATTCTATCTTGGTTCTATCCCTATATTACTACTTTTGAGGTAACACTATTTATTATTTAATTTGTAATTTTTTAGATGGCTGTATTTGTTTATTGCTCATCATTTTTCTATGCATTTATATGAATATGTCTTAGGAATTGTATGATGATTTATGCATAACATACTGCTTGTTGATTTACACAATAACAATTTTGTAATGTTTTTGTATATACATATTAACCAATAAAACATTATTTTATTTTTTGTTATTTTGGTATGCAGTGGGTATTTTGATTTATGGTTGTACTTTGCTTTGACCACAAGGGGTAGCTGTTAACCCCACATTGCACCCACTACATGTAATTCTTGCTATATTAAGGTGATCCTATATATACTGATATATTCAAAAAAACCTACATGCCATATGACTTTTTCCTCTATACTACAGGTGAAACTCAAAAAATTAGAATATCGTGCAAAAGTTCATTTATTTCAATAATGCAATGTAAAAGGGGAAACTAATATATGAGATAGACGCATTAGATGCAAAGCATGATAGTTTAAGCCGTGATTTGTCATAAGTGCGATGATTATGGCTTACAGCTCATGAACACCCCAAATCCACAATCTCAGTAAATTATAATATTGTGAAAAGGTGCAATATTCTAGGCTCACAGTGTCCCACTCTAATCAGCTAAGTAAGCCATAACAACTGCAAAGGGTTTCTGAGTCTTTAAATGGTCTCTCAGTCTGGTTCAGTAGGAATCACAATCATGGGGAAGACTGCTGACCTGACAGTTATGCATAAAACCATCATTGACACCCTCCATAAGGAGGGAAAGCCTCAAAAGGTAATTGCGAAGGAAGATGGATGTTCCCAAAGTGCTGTATCAAAACACATTAAAAGTTATGTGGATGAGAAAAGTGGGGCAGAAAAAGGTGCACAAGAAGCAGGGAGGACTGCAGCCTGGAGAGGATTGTCAAGAAAAAGCCATTCAAATGTGTTGGGGACTTTCACAAGGAGTGGACTGAGGCTGGAGTCAGTGAATCAAGAGCCACCACACACAGATGGATCCTGGAAATGGGCTTCAGATGTTGTATTCCTCTTGGCAAGCCGCTCCTGAACAACAAACAACGTCAGAAGAGTATTACCTGGGCTAAAGAAAAACAGACCTGGTCTGTTGCTCAGTGGTCAAAGTCCTCTTTTCTGATGAGAGCAACTTTTGCATCTCATTTGGAAACCAAGGACACAGAGTCTGGAGGAAGAATGGAGAGGCACACACTGCAAGATGGTTGAAGTCCAGTGTGAAGTTTCCACAGTCTGTGTTCATATGGGCAGCCATGTCATCTGCTGGTGTTGGTCCACTGTGCTTCATTAAGTCCAGGGTCAACACAACCGTCTACCAGGAGAATTTGGAGCACGTCATGCTTCCTTCCACAGACAAGCTTTAGGGGGAAGCTGACTTCATTTTCCAGCAGGACTTGGCACCTGCCCACACTGCCAAAAGAACCAATGACCGTGGGATTACTGTGCTTGATTGGCCAGCAAACTCGCCTAACCTGAACCCCATAGAGAATCCATGGGGCATTGCCAAGAGAAAGATGAGAGACATGAGACCGAACAATGCAGAAGAGCTGAAGGCCGCTATTGAAGCATCCTGGTCCTTTAACAGTGCCACAGGCTGATAGCTTCCATGCCATGCTGCATTGAGGCAGTAATTGCTGCAAAAGGGGCCCAAACCAAGTACTGAGTCCATATGCATGCTTATACTTTTCAGAGGTCCGATATTGTTCTATGAACACTGCTTGTTTTATTGATTGCATATAATATTCTAAATTACTAAGATTGTGGATTTGGGATTTTCATGAGCTGTAAGCCATAATCATAGCACTTTACTCGGCTTTGCATATAATGCGTCTATCTCATATATTAGTTTCCCCTTTTACGTTGCATTACTGAAATAAATGAACTTTTGCACTATATTCTAATTTTTCGAGTATCACCTGTATATTTGTGAAACTTAGTATATGACAAAATAACTAAAAGCTCATCTTAATGTGGCCATCATGACCTTAATATTAGCTCGCTTAAAACAACCACAGTCAAGAACTTAACCAAGGACACTGTAACAGCTATGCTCAGCAGTCATTTATATGGAATTGGTGCTTGTTAGGGTTAGTTGTGCTGATTCGTCATAGAAAAGTGCAGATAAGTTACTCTATAATGTTTATCATGCTTAAAATCCTTTCTAAATATCATATAAAGGCTCAAAATATATTTTTTGATTCATAAATAATTACTGTTTTTAGAATTCATCAGTAGTGTGCCAAGCAGGGGGTGGTGGGAGTCTTCTGCCCCTTGAGAGAGATGGGAAGGGGTTGCACAGAGAACCCCAGTTCTGCCACTCTCTTACTCTATGTAGCATGGCCACAAAGCACATGCCAAGTTGTCCGAAAACAGCTTATCAGCTTGTAACTTTTGCCTTCCAGCTCTGCCACCTGGCAACAATTGTGAGGTGGCAGAGACCAAGCATGAGGGTGAGACCTAACATGAGAGGGGTAAGACCTAGCATGAGAGGGTGGAGCATTGCACCCACCCAGGATAGGCTCTGGCTGGATTAGTGACTCACATTCTTTTCTGGTTTTTGCTGCTTCTGCCAAACATAAGACAGTGATCAGTTCTGTACAAATCCTCTCTTCACTAAAGTCATAGTAAAGGGAATCTGAAAGGAGATGAAAAGTATGAATGCAGTCCAGTAATGTACATTATAGATAAACAGTGCCAATTCTGTATAATATAGAAGTTTACATCATATATCTTACGCTCTAAAAAACTAAAATTATAAACTGCATTATTTTCTAACTCTGCAAGTAATTTGCAGCATTTTAAAAAATATATATTTTGTTGCATAATCTATGCTAATCAGAATTCTAAACTTCTCCCAAGACAATAAATAAAGCACATGTGAACATATGCACTGAAACTTAATTGCAATAAGTATCTATATCTGTCTAA